CACATAACATGCAACGTGTTTCTCTTTTAATTTGGCAAAATGGAAAATAGACACCTATCAGGCTGTATATTAAAACCAAATACACTTTATATATTCTGATTAATTTCTATTTTTCTAGCTTATATTTTCCAATTCAGATTTCTTCAATGAAAACATATGATATTTAAGACATTAGCTATATTTCAACACATCACAGGAATTTTCAATGAGTATCTCATGTCAGTTGTTTTAAGAACTCACTTCTTGAGTCTTGTCCTTGGTCTGGAAAAATAAATGCTTATTTCACTGACTGTACCTGTAGATACCTCATGCATCCATGTGTGATCATAGAACATATGGTAATGTGTGGATGATGTGTGAATTTAGAAATTGTTCCAAGTTGCTACAGTTTCCATATTTCCATGTACACTTCCCATCATCTCATTCCTTCAGAGATGCAGAAGTATCCAAAGCACATGCCTAAAATATAAAGACAAGACACTCAAACATAATGTCAATATTTACTGTACCAAGGTAGTTGAATATTCTCATCTGATGAGAAAATTTGTTTGTAGAAAAACAGAGATGCTATGTTTCCATGACTATGTAAAAATTGACCTAATTAGTGGGAATTAACCTGGCCAGCCCCATTATTTCATGGCACAAATAAACAACAAATTTCACAATACTAAACTTAGTTACTGAATTTTTTTCTTCTCAGCTATGATGAAGCAACCAAAAAGTACTTTACTTTGATGGAGCATTTATTATAACACTCATGTGCCTAGTTATTAACTTCTGTACCTAACAAGGCAAATGATGAGATCTAATTTCTTGGGAAAGCTAATAACAGAGCGTTCTTACAGGCAGAAGAAAAAATCTTTAGTTTTTCAGTCATTCAAATAGCATACCCCTAAGACCATTGTTTTCCTAATGAAAAGCATCTCCCTATATGTCCCCAGTCTCATCCCAGGAAATTGAGACCTTCCACAAATTTCTACAAGAAATGATGGATATCAGAAGAAAACATAACATCTAGAGGACTGGAGACCAACTGAATACATATTCTAGCTTGGGAAGAAATTTGAGTTTTCAGAAATCTCTTGGGTTATTTTATCAGGAAAATAATTCTTTCATTTATATGGCTCCATTGCACATCTTATCTCATCGTATGCTTAGTTAAATATTAGATCTTCTGCCACAAGGGCCTTAGATAAAGAGTCACATAAACACCCATCTGAAGCAGCTAAAGATCTTTATCATGTAATAGGCTCCACTAAAAGTTGGCAGATTTCAATTTAGCTAATAAATTGACTGAATCCAGCCACCACGAATGGCTATTTAGTATTTCTAAGATGTAAAGGGCACATCTAAGCACTGCGCCTCTCTTATTGGTAAGTCCTGAAAGATGCACAAACATATTTTAATTCTGAAGAACTACCTGATGTGATCAAAGTTACTGGGGATTAAAATATGACTCCAAGATGAAGTACTAATATATGAATAAGGCATCATTCTCTATGTCCCTTCCAACTGAATTCAAAGAACTACTAATGCTTTCTTCTTATGAGGCAAAAGTGTTTGCTAGAACAGATGATGCCTACAACAGCCTAGAATCTGAATTTATTTACT